GAGTACCAGCCATCCCTGTGTACCCTTTCACCACATTGTTAAACCCTGTGTGTTTCTTCTTAATCCATATATAGTGTAGGAGATATTTTCAGTGAAATACGCACTGACAAAATCCACAAAATATCACAGATATAAGGTTATCCTGGMATGATACACCCTGGATGCAATTTAGTTCTTTCCCTCACAATTTCTAATTCATAGCTTTAAGATATAAAGTCCATATCTTTAAAATATAGACTAAAATGCTGCATATTGGGGAGGTTAGCCTAGAAGACATGCAAATTATCGAAATCAGATTTCCTTCCTTTCAGCAGCACTAAACTTGTGCTCTCATTTTACTAAAAACATTAAATATAATTTTATAGTAATGTGTAATTTATTTTTGTTAGTTACCTGGTATTTGTCTTTATATAGATTTATTAAATTACTTTGCCTGTGACCTGCAATTTCATATGCCAGCATTCAGAAATGGAGATTATCCACTCTCCTCACTTGAATGTGAATTATGAATTTTGCTTCATATCATTTTGGTTTCTCCAGATCCTCCTTCCTGCTTGTCAACCTGGCCACCATCACCCATATTTTAAAACTGAGGTAAAATATTTACTCACTTTTTTGTTCTTATACTTTGAGAATCAAATCCCTGCCCTTAGTTTATAGAACATTCCAATTTCATCTCCTTTCTTCTCTTGTTCTCTTTTTATTTCTATAGCCAAAGAACTTCTTGCTTTAATTTTCCTTTCAAGGTTCAAATCTCTGATTCCTGGCAGTTCTCACTTTCTCRGTATACTTTCTGACATCCAAGACACAGCTTTCTTTGCCGGTCGATTCTTTTTTCCATCCCTTGTAAGCTCCCTGCTTAGTCTTAATATCCCTTTTGAGATGGTTGTTCATTCATTTGGAGCTGGGGCCCTCTTGGTAAGTCTCTTCCATCCACTTTGTTGGGATCCAAATTACAAAAAGTTTTTTTTACTTTTGACTTGAGAAATTCCAAACTTCTTCCCCATTTATATCTTTGTATTTTTCATGCCAGTTGACTTCACTAACCAGTTCACTTGGAATTTGTCATATAGATATTTCAGAGTATATAAAGTTACATAGTACTTTATGTATTAAAAACACAAGTACCACTAACTWCAGTTGCAGCTGTGAATGCTCAGCACTTTTGCAAACCAGGCCCTAGAGTCTCCTGTCAGAACCTCAGAAATGAGGAAAATACAATTAGTGACCACCTGTGGAAAAGTGTGATGCCTGGCAAAGCACAGTGACCAAATGGTAATGGGAAGGGGAGAGAATCCAACTGGGTGAGCCAGTATTCAATTAGCACAGCCATATGATTTGTTCTTTTTCTTCCAACAGCCACCTCACATCACTGTACATCTCACAGGTTTTTGTAACAAATGAAGAAAGAGTACTAAAGACATTGTCTTGCCCCAGTACTCATTCCTGATTCACTCCCAAATCAGGTCATTGTGTAATGGCCTGTGGAGAAAAAATACCCAACAAAACAAAGAAATCCCCAGTGTGCTTGCAATTTAGGATGGTACCAGAGAGCAGATTTATGGGGTTGGGCAGGGAAACATCACCAMGATTGCAAGGTTCAGAGTGCTTTGGAAATTAAAAAAAAAATCCAGGTGCGTAAATTAAACTTTAATTGTACTATCAATATGTATTTTTTTCTCTTATTTTTATGCTTTTTGAAAGCAAAGTGAAAAAACAGAAGTTCCATCATGAAACTATTTGTAAGCACTGCACTGTCAACTGTATGAATTTTCCACACAGGTCTAGGTAATCTAATTTCATGGAGTAYCTTAAAGCAAGAGATTGTTGAACTCTTTATTGGCAACACTGAAGTGGGATGACACACACTTTGCTAGCATTTAAACAGACTTTTGCTGACAGCAGAGAAACTGGGAGGGGACCTAAATATCACATGTACTATTCCATGTTCCTCAGCTAATTGTCTATGCCACRTCAGCATTAGCCCTCCTGTCTCACCTTCTCTGACACAGCTTTGCTTTCATTAATCTCTTCCCTCAGGGATCCAAATGTCTAACTCAGGATCCAAATTTCATCTTTCTCATGAAAGAGTCGCTGCTCTCAGCACATCTCTCTCCTTGCCTAAAAAGTCAGAGTCCTCTGGGKGCTTGTACACAGTCCCTTTGTTTCTCCCAATCCTAGTCTTACTGTCCAGACAGCCTCAACTCCCATTTTAAATTGTTGGTCCCCATCTATCCATTTTTGCTKCTCTATGGCAACTGCCCCTGATGACCATGACCACTGCCCCTGAYGACTTCTTTGTTGCCATGTCTCCCTTTCCCATGTTCCAACACATAGGAAATACACAGTCTTTGTACCTAACTTSTCATTAACTGTTTGCCTTCGCATCTTTAACCAGCCAGCTAGTGGTTTTCTCTGCTTAATGGTCAGACTCTTCTTTAGCACACTGCTTCCTCTCTTCCCTTTCCCCTGTCCAGGTTTATCCTAATTCTGTTTTCATTTTCCAGTCAGCACTACGTTCATCCATTTGCYCATTTTCTATCACTTTCCTTCTTTCTCCTGTTGGTTCCCACAGTCTCCTCATCATTCTTCTGCCTGAAGTATTGTCCCTTCCACAGATGGTTGGAGATTTTCTTTTTCTTGGAGATTTTCTAAAGAACATCCTAGGGCAGTGATTATGACAAATCAATTTACACATCCAGGATGAAAACATTTMTTTCAATCAGTTTTAGAGGTTTTCCTTTTATGCTCAGTATATGGCCCAATCTTCAGATAGTGTTGTGATGCTTGGTGTTAGAAAAATGTTCAAGAAATCCTCTGCTTCCCTTTTACCCTTTCTTTCTCCCCCTATTCACTGAGATGGAAATAGCTCACAGCTAAGTCACACAGATTTTTTTTTTTTTTACTTCTCTTATGTGAATACAGTGAAACAAAGTTAGACAGAACATCAAGGATGGAAAATTGGACATCTAAATATATAAAGGAACTAAGGTCATGCGAGAGAATGAGAGGGAAGTATTTTAGATGGACAGTTTAAAAACCCAMCGCACTCTTAGAAGTAATTGCTGCTCCTGATATGACTGAGGGATGTTTTATTTGATAACTCCATGTTTCAAATCAAATAGGTCAGCTCATACCAGTTTCTAACACTTTTTAAATAAATGTTTTATTTTACATGGGGTGCCTTGCAAGCGCTGTCACACTAGCTAGGGTGAGATGTGATACACTGCAGCATTACTCAGTCTCATTCATACTTGTTATCCAGAAACAGCTTCAACAGTGCCACAACCTATACTTGATTTAGTGCCTCTCATAGACACAGGATTTCCCTCTATGTACAATCTGCCTATTTCGGCTTCTCTTTTAGTCTGAGTTCAAATGRGAAACCCTAGCTTTGAAGCTAGCATGCACAGGGAAAATAAAAAAAACACAAACCATTAAAAAAAAACCAATGCTGATTTAAGAGTGAGGTAACAAACCTACTCTCCATAAACTGTGCATACTGTGAAATTACAATATCCCAGCAGAATGCTGCTTCTGCAGAATCCTGCAATGTCCTAATGAAGACATCTGCAGAATCCTGCAATGTCCTAATGAAGACAATCTGACAGAGATCAAAGATTCGCCATGTCTGAGACCTTGACGGGTCAATTCCATCAAACAAATTCAAAGGCATGTTGGGTGGGTAATTTTGTTACTATCACTAATGTAAGCCACACCRCAATATTTCAATTCTAACACTTTCATCTGATGATAAAACAGTCTTTCAGGAATATAATACCAGGAAAGACAAAACCCCAAAAGCTAAACATCATGATTACACACCCTTGTACACTGAATGCTATAGTGGTGGGAGTTATTTCAAACACTTAAAACTGACAGTGAATGGGGGCTTTCTTTTCTAATTACCTTATTTAGGAGTTTCAATTCTCATTCTGTTCTGAATATGTAACTGACTAAGTAACTTAAAACCTTGAGCTCTGCATACCTTTGGATGAAGACCAAGAAGCCTGAACACTATATCCATGCAGCTCTGATTAGCTAGTTGCATGCCTGCACTGAGAATGAGGCATGTTTCATATTAATTTGAAATGGCTATTTCAATGCAGAGTTGCAACAGAGTTTAACCACCTGAGAGGTAAAGAGTGCCAGACTGCACTACAAATTTTGCTCTGAAGCAGTGGCTAAGTGGGGGCTTGGTTTGTCTGATTGGCTTAGCCAAAGACCTGGGAAATGCATCATGACGAGCCATCTTCAACCTGGTTTTCAAACATGCCTTCAACCATTAGAAGAGGACTTAATCAAAAGAGGCCCAAAGTCTGTTTGCAAGGTTTATGAACCTTAACAAACCATTTTCTCAATAGACCATACTGGTCTGAATTTTGAGTTCATAATGAAAGCTGAAACCAAGACAGTGCTTGGTGGTTTGGGATTTGACAGAGAGTATTTCACATGGCCATAGTTATTGGGTAAGGAAATACAGTATGGCTGTGTCTACAAAAGAGAACAAAATCCTGAAAACTGGATTGTTAAAATAGCAATAGTATTAAAAAAGTATAATGTGAAATGACAGCCAAAGTAYGTTTCTGGTGTTTCTGCAAAGAGCCTGCACTTAGGGTGGATTTGGCACCATTTCAACTGCACTGTCCTTTATTTGTTTAGCCCACAGCTTTCTTCACATCTACCTGAGATCTGGCTTTTGGATGAATGGGAGGATGCTCCAAGAATCCAGGAAGAACTGTGGAAGAACCGACAGCACTCTTGTGATATGTCTATTAAAGCTTCAGGASGGAAGTGACCCTTTGATACAACAGCCCTTATGCTCCTCTTGCAGCCAACCCTGTGCAAAGTTGGTGAATTGTGCTCATGAACTGAAGCACAGCTCTTGTGCACAAACAGTAACAGACAGGAAAACAGTGCCTAGATTCTTATATCTGACATGAAATATAACTCCTAAACAATTAATGGGCATTTTTTTCAGTTTGTAATAAACCTTCTACCTGGCATAACAGTAGAGATCCTCCTGTGTTTTTTGTTCAGTTTGTAATAACAGTAGAGATCCTCCTGTGTTTTTTTTCAGTTTGTAATAAACCTTCTACCTGGCATAACAGTAGAGATCCTCCTGTGAAAGAGGACTGTGGATTGTGACTTTTGCAGCTGTTGCTTTCTATGGTTTTTGACAAAAGACAATGGAGACAATGAAGCCAATGGACATCATTAGCTCCAATTATCTTGGATTCAGGGTGTTAGTTCTGAAAGAGAAAAAAAAAAAATCATTCTCTAGTGTCTGTTCTGTTTTGTTCTGACTCCAGCTTTATAAAGCACATTGAAATGGAGTCTCCCTCTCCTCCACTGATAATTTAGGAAGCATACTGAAATTATATTCATCAAAGGACTGACAAAAACAATTTGGCCACAGCCAGCAAATGAAGAACATTGACTATGAGCCAGATTGCCTGATATTAATTGACTTTGTTCTGTGGGATTCACTGAGGTGAGGGCCAACCAGGTGATGATTGGCCTCTGGAACGCTATGCTGATGCCCTCAGATAGAATCAGATGTGTAACTCTCCCAAACAAGAAGGGGATATAAGTCCCTAATTCTTTAAGCCTTATGATGAAATWTATCCCATGCAAAATCCAACTTCTATTTTGTCATAAAACTTAAAAGAAGTGCAAATTTTAGCTAGGAGGGAACTGTTATGACCCAGTTGTAAATCTGTGCAAGGAGCAGTATGCAATTGAAACACTGACAAACTCTCAAGCAGAATGGTGCAAGTGGGTGCGCCAGTAACATCCCCTCCAAATTCTACTCCATTGCAGTCAATTCATCTCATGTCAGCATTTAGAGTCCACAATGAAATGACCAGTACAAAGAGGGGGAAATAGTAATTTCTGAATTACTGTCCCTTATCAGTAAACAATCACAGAAACATGGAAATTTTGTTACTAGAATTGTTACTAGTGGTTCATACATTCTAACAAGGCTGTCAAAGAGAAAGCAACATATTCCTTCTGGTATACCTAAACAGGAGCAGGGGAGGAGTAAAAAATTGTTTACAAAACTACTAGTCTGACAGAGAAAGAATTCTGTGTTCCTCTTAGAAACAATGAAATGTTTTTTAGATTATTCTTTGCCTATTTCATAAGATCATCGCATCATTTTTTCACCCCTCTTTGTCTGTTTCATTGCTATTTAAATTAAATTTAGTTTTCCCTTTTAAAATTATTTTTATTATAGACTTAAAGCTTAATGAATCTAACAAAAGCAAGCCTTAAAAGCCCCTCAATGCTAACTTTTTTATCATATCAAGGTGCCTTGATCAATGAATCAGTGGTTTTTTTACAGTTTGTCTCCTATGCACTTTCCTGGCCAAACTGCTCTTAAGACAGAATGACATTTCTGTTTTATAATCCCACTGATGGAATTAATGACTAYGCTTGTTAATTAGGATTATTCGAATTTCCCGTCTCTGTTTCATATAGCACTCCACCTCTGTCAATCATAACTTCTATCACATTCTGCTTTTCTAAATGAACTAAAATGTTTGGCTTGGCCCTGTGACAAGAATGGGGTCATTCACAAACTTGTAATAACATATCCTTAGCTGATGTTTCTTAGTAACATGTGTAAATAGGAAAAAAACAGTTGCACTGCAGGGGTTTAGCTTGGCCACATGTGACTACGGTTAAAGAACATGGGAAGAAAATCAATGGTGTTTCCATGATAGCTKTCCAGTTCACCAGCGAGCGCACAGCAGAGACTCAGCAGTGCAGACACAGCCCAAGTTAACCACTTTCTTCACTCGGCAGCACGCTAGTGCAGCACGTCTCTTCTCTTCTAGGAACCAGATGTGCAGATCCTGTCTGGAGCTGACCTGAGGAGCTGAGCCTTCGAGAGGAGTGTAGTAAAAAACACAAAGTCTACCAGAATATTCCTTGTGATATCTTCTATTTACCTTTGGCAACACTGAGCTTTTGTTACAATTATGATCACATTGTGGGATTAAAGACATTACAAGTGGTTTCTTGGTAGCACCCTCTGGGTAAAAGCAGAATGKTAGTGTCACTATGAGAGACGGGCTAAAGCTGTGAAGCTTGGGCCAGGGTTTGGTTCTTGGATAAATGAAAATGTTTGAGATCAAGGGTTTTACTCTGACCGTTACAGAAATGGGCTGTCTTTCAGCTTGGCTTAGACTTTGATACTCCTAGCAACTAAAGTTCAGGAACTCATGAACTGAGGGTATTCAGATTCAGAGAACTAATTTGCCCTGTGTTTTGTTGCAGAGAAAAATGGAAAGATGGGAGGTTTGATATGGAAATAAAAATCTAGAAGCAAACACATTAAATATATGAAATGATCTTAAAACTATTTTTTCTTCCAGARGCCCCAGTCACTTTCATTATTCAGATTTTTACTGGTTGTTTCAGATTAAGTTGCATTAACATAGACATTCTGTAGTACAAACAGCTGTAGGGAGAAAATTGTTACTAAGAAAAAKAAAAAAATACTGTTAGTGAGAAACATTTCAATCAGGAGATATCCCATGCACACTGCTGGTACAGCATCTGCCCAGCTCTGCATTGGGTATACAAAATCTTTCCTGCTGCTGACTTGGTTCTTTCAGGATCAGCTACGCTGCCTCAGCCTCACAGAACTACCCACCCTCCTGTCTGAAACCTGCAACTGGGGAAAGCTGCAGGCCACATACCCTAACTTCCCCCTTCAAGGGCCAGGTAGCTATGCAGAGGTATGAATACAGCATTTTTGAACCACTGTAGTCAGTCTAAGATGGAGTTGGGCACATAAAAATAACAGGTTTTCAAAGGAAGAAGGAAACCTAAACTGTAMGATAAAGATGTTTAAAAAGAATCTTGTCCGAGGTTTTTCCCTCCTGCCCTTCCAGTGTATTGAACTCTCCATTTGCAACAGCAAAAAATTCCCTTGCTGGTCTGCACAGGGTTAATATATCCCYGATCTGCCCATAAGATTTAAACAGRAGGACACTGTATAGTTTTCTTATTGCAAATTTCTCTTTGTCTCTTAGCGACTTGAGACAATTTGTCTAAAAATGATCCAGCACAATGGATCTGTGTTTCAAAGGCCAAATGAATACACCATGTGCTGGGAAGAATCCTTCATGCGTGGTTTGGTGACTATGGCAGGAAACAAGCAGACATGGCTCCTGGGAACTGGCAGTTGCTGAGATGCTGGCGTGCAGGAAAGTAGGTTTAAGGCAGGTGGAAAATGAAACAGCATTCAAAAGTGATATGGCTGGATTATCATTCCTACTGCACAATAGGACACAAAAGCACAACCTCTGGACTGGTGCAGGCTGAAGTACTGAATATTTTGTTTTTCACATAAGCCTAGCAGAACTTTCACGTAACTTGTATATATACAAGCAGGTGTCTGCTCTATTTTCCACATACTATAGGGTTCCTCATATGAGAAACTGGAAAGTAAGACCCGATCTTGGCCCAGCTGTGTCTGCAAAACTGGTTTAGCAGCATATCCAAATATTTCCTTATTGTGGATCTTCCAGTGGGAGTTAGACGGACATCCATTTCAAGTRAAGCTAGGGTATGCATGAGGCCAATCTCATTTTCATGTGGGGTTAGTGTGAGTAGAACACATCTACAACCCCCACTGCCAAAGAATATAAAAATCACTAAAATTTTTAACATTCTTTCTCCACTTCTCTCTTATTCTTTTATATATTAGATYCAAACTTTCTCTTGCTACATTATGGGCTCCATTATATACTATAAGTTATAGTAAAATCGAGAGAGTGCATTGCACTGCACTATTACAATGTAAGAGACAGTGGGAGTAATTACCAAAAGCTCATTGGGTTAAAAGCAATAACAGCAGCTGAAGTTCTCTGACTTTCCCATWTTCAATGAATGCCTCTGAAGATGATATATGACATGGTGTGAACACTGTAAATATGGGTACCATGATACTAAAATGGAATTTTTGTACTATTAAATCAGTGACGAGAAGTTCAAAGTAAGTTAATAAGAGTGCCCAGCATAAGCTGCAGGTTTGCAGAAGCTGTTCAGAATGCATTTAGGCTCAGTGCTTATCCCTTAAATGAATATGACTGACTTTTTTGAGGGGGAAAATGTTTTATTCCAGCAAGACTGGAGCCATCAATCTAGTCAAAGTTCACTCCAGCTGGAAAAAAACTGGAGCAGGAAAACAGGATTTTATGCGACAGTCTATATACCCTTCCTCACACAGAAGGCTCCTCCCATGCACATAATGGGATTTCTTCATGTGGTGGCACTTCTGGTACATACACAGCATTTTCACACGAGAAAAGAATAAAGAACATGTAAGCAGCAAAGCAATCTTAAGAACTATGTCACATATCTAACACTATTGTCTTTCATTTGTCACCATTGGCAGTGTGGTACAGCTGATTCATGTAACTGCCTTAAAACTTGGAATTCCAATGTGATTTTAAGGGAACCATGTAACTCTATTACAAGGAGATATTCAATGTTTGGATAGCTGCTTGGCATTTGACATAGACATCTTCAAACAGACAGGAATGATAGCAAGGCTCATATGTAGAATATAGACTGAATCAACAATGTTGATGCACTGCTGTGAAAAGCTGATTTAACCTTGACCAGATATGCTGGAAGGGAGCCTGTGTGAATTAAGGCAGCAGAGATCAGGGCCAAATCCTCAGCTGGTAAAACTGTCAAGAGCTGCACWGAGGTAAATGGTGTTAAATCCCCACTATCAAATGGGACAGTGTGTGTTACAGTATCAAAAAAACTTTGAAGTATGCAGATAGGAAGCTCAAGAAGAACAAATGGTTCTCAGAGCAGGAAAAGCTCCTATTTATTAAATAAGGATTAAGCATATGGGCAGTAAACTTCCCATAATGTGATCCAATATGATTTAAAAATAAAATTAAAACCATTCTTAAGGACACATGAAACAGTTAAAGCCACAAGAATGTCACTTGGTTGAGTAATAGTAAGGCAGTAAATCAGATCTTATTGTAGGCCCAGTGAATTCAGGACAAACAATAACTAAACAGACAACAGCAGCAGAGATGCATCCTTTGAACTAGACACTGCAACAGATACGTACTGTGTTTTGCAAAACCAGAACAATAGCAGGCTGCAGAGAGCATGCAGAAAGCTAAAACAAACAAACAAAAATTCTGGCTCCTTTTTACTTTCAGTCGTAAAAAGCCACAAGGAAGTTGAGATG